ACTTTTTTTTTTTTAGATTTTCTACAATGAATAAATTACTTCTGTAATCAGGAAAAAATGTCATTTACAAAAAGATATATGAACACAAGAGAATTAAATGAATGGAAAGTCAACAGTTATCTTAGTCAATTGGTATAACATAGCACATAAAGTTAATATTCTGCATCCTACTTTGATGAATTGTGACTAGTTTCTTAAAAGCTTGAGAGTGGTCATCTAAGATACAACTATTGGTCTCCACTCATCTGCAAAAAAAAGAGAATGAAGGAAACTGAAGACTCAAGGAAGAAACTAGTCCACAGCACCAACAGCCCACACAAACCATGGCCCATTCTAACCTGAGAACAGAAGAACTACATGGTACTCAACTACCACTACCAACCATTCTGACCAGGAACACAATAGAATGTCCCAGTTAGAACGGGACAAAAATGTGGAACAAAACTCAAATTCATAAAAAGGACCAGACTTCCTGGACTGATAGAGAATGGAGAAACCCTCAAGACTATCACCCTATATCACCCCTTTAACCTAGAACTGAAACCACTCCCAGAGGTCAACTTTCAGCCAAACAGTAGATTGGATTATAAAATAAACCATATCACCCATGAATAATGTATCTCTTAAACAATTAACTACATGACACCAAACATTTACCCAAAAGCAAAGATAAGGAGGCAAGGAGGGGAAGAGAAGCTAAATCAATGGAATAGAACAAACAGAATGGAAATAATGAGAATAAGGACATAATGTGAAAAATGTAACCAATGCCATGGAACAACCTGTATAAAAATTGTTAAATGGGAATCTAAGTCACTGTATAAACCTCCATCTAAAAAAAAATATATTACTTTAAAAAAGTTATCTTAAAATAAATCTTAACTACCTAACTACTCATCCAAGCAGCACAGGACACTCTGCAAGCTATTAAAGTGTGGGAAAAGAAAAAATGACATATCTTAGAAATTAGATACCAAACAATTTTATGTAAGAAAATGAGATTGTTCTAGAATTGTGCAGTGATGTATTAGCTTAAGAAATTCAGCCCAAGAGTTTTGCTTTCTCTCCACTGATCTTTCTTCTACTGATAATACCTCTTGAATACATGGAGGATAACTTCTCAAAAAGAAAACTCTTACTGGGAAATTAAATATAATGAAAGAAATGAAACCAATCCAGATATAATATGAAACAATGTTTTGACAAAAATTTTTAAGACACAAATGCCTTTGAATGGAGACTTTATTTTTACTCTGTATTTCTGGGTTGCTTGAAATTTCAAGAAGAATGAATGATTTGTATAATTTTCATAAATTAAAAGTTTAAGTCCTGCAAGTTGCCATCTAGATGCAACGATGGATCGCTCCTCATCCAAAGAAAAGAAGAATGAAAAAAACTAAAGACATATGGAAACAATTAGTCCAAGGACTGGTAGACCAAATGATCCTCAGCCTATATTTCCATGAGACCAGAAGAACTAGATAGTGCCTGGCTACCAATGTCAACCACTTGGAGGAGGATCTGTGTAAGAGATCCTGGATAGAATGGCAGAACAATGAGGAACAAAACTCAAAATCATAGGGAAAAAGAAAAAAGAAAGGAAACTAGGTTTGCTGGTCTGATAGAGACTGGTGAAACCCCTGAGACTATGGTCCCTAGCTGCCCTTCAGTTCTGGAGTTGAACTCACTCCTGTGGCTTCCAACCAAATAAAAGACAGGCATATGGGCTGAATATTAACATCAGGTAGCTACACTCCTTGGATAGATAAATCATGGGAGAATAGAAGGGCAGTGTATGCACAGGGAGACCACTCGGTGGGCAGGAGTGTATGAGAGGGAAAAACACAGGGAAGAGATAACTATGGGGAAGAAGTGGGAGGGGAGCTGTTACATTGAGGGGGATTGAAATCAATGTCATGAGACAAAATGTGTATGAACTGCTGTATGGAAAATGAATTTGCTCAGTAAACATTCATCCAAATCACAATAAAAATTTTAAAAGAAACAAGTCAAATAAAGAAAAATATATATAAAAAAGTAAAATCCCACTTTACAAGATCTGACTACATGATAATTAAAGAATCAGTGCATTTCCAAAACAACTAATTCACTTTGTAAACATCACAGCATTTTTCTTACTAATTGAAAAAGTAATAAATCAAGAACCTCTTGATTCAATGCATATGACAAGTATTTATAATAATCCATTGTCTACTGTACATCTCCATTTTAATGTACATTATTATACAAAAATCCTGATGAAAATTCAGTTACAAATATTCAAAAGCTTTGTAAATAAAAAAACATACTACTGTGAAATAACTGCATTTTCCAAACAGCACATCCAATTGTAGGCTATAAAATAGCAACACACTCTTAAACACCACATAATATGGATGAACTTGGAGGACATTGTGCTGAATGAAATAAGTCAATCACAGAAGGGCAAATATAGTATTAGTTCATTGTTGTGGAGGGTCAAGGAAAGGTTTATATATGCTGGGAAACTTTCTTTGTTGGTTGCCAGGGGTGGGACATATTAACAACAAGACATATTAACAACAACAATAAAAAGAATACCTGGTAGCATAGTGGCTAAGTCACTTGCCTGCTAACCAGACGGCTGGCGGTTCAAACCCACCAGCCACTCCTCAGAAGGAAGGTTGGGCAATCCTACTTCCGTAGTGATACTGCCTCGAAAACCCAAGGAGGGGTCGCTATGAGTCGGGGCCGACTCGACGGCACATAACAACAACATGAGGCAATAAAATAAATCAATTCAAGATACTTCCACAGTATACAGTATATAATATTTGAATTAAGAGTACACTTCTGGATAATGGGTACATGGAGTTGTATTGTACTCTTTTCCTTGTTTTGTGGATGCTTTAAATTTTCATAATAAAAAAGTTTTTAAAGCATGCACTTTACAAGAGTAATGATTGCTATTAATACCAGTAGACAGTGGGTGCTCACTGTAATTCTGTAGTTCTATTAGCATATCACTACTGGTACAGGATATACAAATACCTTATAATCAACAACCTTAAGAGTTAATGGCATCAATATCCCCAATTTACAGATGAGGAAACAGAGACTGAAAAGTTAAAAAACTTATTTGACATTACAAAGTTCATGAATGGGAAAACTAAGATTGTATGTGTATTTAAGTCCATGCTCTTCATTCCTATGGGTTTTTTTTTTTTTTTTCCTAAAAAGCATGGTCTAGTTGGTTGTTTTTAAAACATACTACCATTACTTTGAAATTTACTCTCTATCACTGATAATCAAAGCACAACGACTTTTATTCTCTATTTCATCAGTTGCCCCAACTATCAAATATGCAAAACAATTTAATTTGAACAAGTTAGACCAAAGATGAGTTCACAAAATACACTACTTCAGAGTGTTTACTAGAGACTTGAAATGAGTATTACAAAGGCAAACTACTGTGGAAGAGTGGATGACCAAACTATGGTACATACACATAATGAAATGCTATGCAGTCCTAAAGAATAATGTAGAGTCTACAAAATACCGCATAATAAGGATTAACTTGGAGGACATTGTGCTGAGTGAAATAAGTCAATCACCGAAGGGCAAATACAGTATTAGTTCGTTGTTGTGGAGGGTCAAGGAAAGGTTTATATATCAAGGGAAATTTTCTTTGTTGATTGCCAAGGGTGGGAGGGGAGGGAAGGGAACACTGCAAGGGGAAAAAAAAAAAAAAAAGCATTGACCCATGTCACTTTAGTTTTATGTATTGCACTGTATATAAATTATATTTCAATAAAATGCACTTAAAAAAAGAAAAAGAAAAAGTCAAACTACTTCAGTTCCTGCCAAAGTTAATCTGATAAATTTACAGTACCTGAACTAATGGTAAGTTATCAAAATTGTTAAGTACAGAATCACTTTGTAGAAGCACAGCTGATTAATGGTTTTACTAAGGTGCATACTAAATGTAAGTGAAGAGCATTTTTTAGATTTATTTATTTAACAAGTGTTTATTAAGCTGAAGCTCAAGATACTGTGGATATATAGGGGTAAGAAAAGAATCTTGCAGTGTGGTCTGAAGACAGAGGTGGAAAGAATTATTCTAGTGTTTGGTGCAATGATACCATGGAAGAGGTGGGACTTGAAAGCTGCTTTGAAGATGAGGGAAGGAATCACAGGGCAAAAAGACTTGAACTAAGATTTACAGGATGAACATAATCTTGTAGTATTTACCAGACCAATATTAACAGCACTCACTTATTACCAAATTTTCAAAATGATACACTTTTCCTGAAACACAGACATTATATTCATTTTTCATATTTCAACCACTGGCAGTATAAAGTCTTGTTCTTGTGGGTCAAAAGACCTGAAATTTTAATTTAAATATCACAAATCAGAAAAAAAATATTTAATATAGTAGCAACTATTTATTGAGTATCTGTTGAATTGGTGGGCTTCTAATTATTTTCTTGCACGTACAAATATACTTGCTCAGATTTTAAGACACAACATGAAAAAATGTCATGTCTTTTCCAAAAGTTAGAAGTTGCAAAGGCCAACTGCTTCTCAGTTATTTGAAGTAAGAGTCAAAATTTTTCCAAATGGAAATAAAGGTGCATTTTTCACTGTTATGATTAAAAAACAACTAATAAAAGTGTTACCTTTAGATTAATGATAAGGGATAAAAATCTATGCCCTGGAAAACAGTATTTTCAAGAAGTCTGGAGTGACCAGAAGCATTTAATCATAACTGCTATATTAAACTATTTATGATAGTAATCAGAGTTCACTTAGTTCAAACAAGTTCAGGAGGCACAGAATACAATGGAGGGAATGGGGAAGAGTGGGTTTTGAAATTCCGTAACAAAGTAAATCTTTGAGTCATTTGTAAAATTCATAGTTTCAATTATTACAGGTTTTACTGGTTGCTCATATTTTTCTATTCCTAATAGCATAAATAAATTTTTTTTCAATTATAATAGATAATTGATTCTACTTACTTGAGATGGAAAAATCTGAACAATATTTCCAGCTATGTCTAGGATTCTTAAGTTCTTAAGATTACAAATTCCCTATGTCAGAAAACAAGAGACAGAGAGATTTTTTTAAAAGCTAATATTTGGAATCATAAATATTTCTTTTGAGTTCAAATTTGATGGAGGTAATTATCTTTTTAAATTACCTGATCAATCCTCTGTACATTTTCCCCAAGATCACTATGCTCTGGGTGGGCAGACTGACTTCTGTATTTCCCCTGACCACACCAGGGCAACATAACATGTTGGCTAAGAGTTACTCTACGTGTGGGTTCAAATCTCACCTCTGACATGAACTATGTAACTACGGGCATATTTCTTTATCTTTTTGTACTTTGCTTTTCCCACTTGTGAAATGGAAATGTTAATCAAGCCCCTACTTCATAAGTAGTTGAATTAAACAGTTACAAATTGTAAAGTGCTTACTAGGCGCTAAAGGTGCTCTGGTAGCTTAGTGCCTAAGGCTAACCAGAAGGCTGGCAGTTCAAACCCACCAGCCACTCCAAGGAAGGAAGACAGGATAATCTACTTCTGTAAAGATTTACTGCCTCAGAAACCCAAAGGGGGTCAGTATGAGTGAGAATCGACTCAATGGCAGTGAATTTGGTTTTTGGTTACTAGGTGCTAACACTGACTCAGTAATAGACATTACTTACCATTAAAACAGAAATAACTTTTGAGAAACAGAAAACAAATGTAACCCATCAAAGATGTCTCCATTGACAATTCCACCAACATTTATTATTAATCTATCTCATGCTACTTCTGTACTAATAAAACACTTTTCCTTGTAAAGGAAATAAAACCTGTTACTGTTACTGCCTCTACCTATATGCCCAAGTGAATTACCATAATAACCACTTGATTGTTATAGTACATGTGAGTTCTGGTGGTATTTCTACTAGCAAGCAAAGGCTGAATAGGATTTTTTTTTTTTAACTAGAAACATCAAAAACTTTTTAAAAATCTGAAAATTAAAGGTATGATTTACTAAATAGTTTCAACCACTTGTAGACATGGTTCTGAAACACTCTTGTTTTGACAGCCCACTCTCTCCCTGGGGAGATGATATGTCTCTTTAGTCATGCCAACTGTGTGTTCTTCTTCAGTCCAATCCCATTCTATCACAGATTCGGTCTCTGCAAGCAGATGCTAAAGTGGACATTGGGGAGCTGGATGTTAATAAGGGATCCACCCCTCTGAAAGGGAGGGCCATGAAATAGGACTGGGCAGAAAACAAGGTGTGATGCAGATTGACCACAGTGGGAGCTCAGGAGCGGGCCTTGCCCAACCAAGTTGTCTCCCATTACAGAGGAATGGCCAATCATTTATATCCCTGCCTTGTTCAATCACAAGATGTAGGATGCTCTGTGGAAAGTGTGGCCTTAGGCAAGGAAGGAGGTTACTTACAGTTGAGATAGACTGTAAAATGCTAACTGGAAGCTGTCTGCCTCCAGCATTCCCTACAACTGGGCAATAAGTCCTTGAAGGGGCTTTGGTATCTACAGTACATGTGGTCCTCTTCTTCCATCCCATGTAAGACTTTCAGATTCCCAATATATTTTCTTCTCACAGTATATGTTAATATCACAATATTAAGATACAATATTATCTTAATAATATTCACTCTACTTGCAAAACAATTGATACCATGACTTTTGTTTCTGCCTTCTTTCTTGTTTTTGTTGTTTTTGTAGCCACAGCTGTTGCTTTTGTTGCTATTGCCATTGTCTTTCTCTTTTCTTTTTTAGTCTTTGCATCTGTCCATTCCCCACAAGTTTGTCATAGATTAAAACCTCAAAAACAGGAGTAGTGACTGAGATCTTAAAAGCTTGCAAGTGGCCACCTAGATGCAACGATGAGTGTCTCCTCATCCAGAGCAAAGAAGAATGAAGAAAAAACAAAGATGCATGGAAACAATTAGGCCAAAGGACTGGTACACCATGCGATCCTCAGCCTATATGACCATGAGATCAGAAGAACTAGATGGTGCCCAGCTACCACTGTCAACCACTAGGAAGGTGAGTTGTGTAGGAGATTCTGGATAGAGTGGGAGAACAATGTAGAACAAAGCCCAAAATCATTTAAAAAAAAAAAAAAAAAGGACTAGGATTGCTGGTCTGATAGAGCCTGATGAAACCCCTGAGACTATGGCCCTTAGCTGCCCTTCAGGTCTAGAACTGAATTCACTCTTGTGGCTTCCAACCAAATAAAACACAAGCATATGGGCTGAATATTTACATCAGGTAGATATACTCCTTGGACAGATCAATGATGGGAGAACAGAAGGGCTGTGTATGCAAAGGGAGACAGCTTGGTGGGCAGGAGTGCATGGGAGGGAAAGACACAGGGAAGAGGTAACTATGGGGAGGAAGTGGGAAGAGAGCTGTTCTATTGTGGGAAACTGCAGTCAATGTCATGAGACAAAATGTAGATGAAATGCTGTATAGAAAATGAAATTGCTCTGTAAACTTTCATCCAAATTACAATAAAAACTTGAAAAAAAAAATAAAATTTCACAAACAGGCAATTATCAGGTTAGCATAGTGCCTAAGGCACGTGACTGCTAACCAGAAGGCTAGCGGTTCAAACCCACCAGCCATTCCTCGGAAGGAAGGTTGGGCAATCCTACTTCCGTAGTGATACTGCCTCAGAAACCCAAGGAGGGGTCGCTATGAGTCGGGGCCAACTCGACGGCAAATAACAACAACAACAACAACATAACAGGAATGACAAAGGAATGAAAATGAAGGATTATGGATAAGGTGTTATGGGAAAAAATAATAGAGGCATGTTATTTTGGGAAGTCAGACAAGGTTTCCTGAAAGAAGTGAAATTTAAACTCAGATTCTTTGAGAAATAATAAGCTTTTGTTAAGAGACAGCAGTTGTTTAAGGTATAACTGTGAGAAGTCTAGTAGGGCTAAATCATAGAATGATCAAGAAGGACTGAGGAAGGGTGAAGTCAAATCATGAAAGGACTTTTATGAATGTACTGTGTATTAATTAGTCAGGATTCTTTACGTTGCAAGCGTAATGAAACCCAACTCAACAAATAGGTAAAATGACATGTAAAAGGAAATATATTTATAATTCATACTTACCCAAATACATTCTTTATGGCATATTTTCATTTAACCCTGGGGGTCCTACATACACACCAGACTATCAGTTTTAACCCTTTCATGACCAGTGGGACACACAGTGCCCACATACACTTCCCTCCTCTGGGATTTGTTGGGCAGCTGCTTTCCCACTGACAGTGCATGCCGCTATCAGGAAGGGCCTTGTATAACTGTTTGAAATGAAAGGAATGGCACAGATTACTGTTTTCACAGGGTATTGTATGAAGTAATGCATCCTAGAGGTGTGATTTTGCAAATTTTTTGTCTCTTTTGGCTTTTTTACTGGGAGGTATGTCATGTAAATATATTTCCAGGTTCATGTGTGTTACTTAGAAGTTGCCTCTATCATGATGATTCCATGTTCACATACTGTGTTTTCAGGCACCCTAAATTGTATGTACCTGTTGAGGGATCTAGAAGGTGGTGCTGAGTCCATAGGGACATATGTGTCCCACTAATTCTAAATTCAAGCCCAAAGGGACATATGCTTCCAACATAATCCTATTCCCAGAGTCCAGAGAGATATATATGTTTCACATACTATGTTTCAAAATCTGTATTTCATAACAAAATTTCAGAAATCTCATTTGATTCAGCATGATTTTCATTAATAAAAAAAAACACATAGCATCAACAAAAAATTCAAAGCAGAAAATAATGAAAGGGTCATGAAAGGGTTAAAACTGCCTAAGCCCCACATATGAATCAATGCACCTCTACTATTTGGTATCACAGAGAATAGCAATACCTACTCAGAATAGCAATACTTTGCCCAAATATCCTACATGAGTAAGGAATTATCTTAAAGAAATACAGACACACACCCACAACATAACAAAAGTAAAGTCATGGCAGCATTTAGATTTGCCAATTCTTTTTTTTTTTATTGTGATTTCAGTGAAAGTTTACAGAGAAAATTCATTTTCTGTTCATCAGTTCATACATATCTTGTTTCATGACATTGACTGAAATCCCCATAATGTAACAGCCCTCTTCCCACTTCCTCCCTGTGGTTACATTTTCTCTGTGTCCTTCTTTCCTATGCATTCCTGCCCTATGAGCTATCTCCCTGTGCAAATGTTGCCCTTCTGATCTGCCATGATTGTTCTAAGGCAGGTACCTGTTGTTGTTGTTGTTGTTATGTGCCATCAAGTCAGAGCCAACTCATAGCGACCCCTCCTTGGGTTTCTGAGGCAGTATCACTACAGAAGTAGATTGCCCCATCTTCCTTCCAAGGAGTGGTTAGTGGGTTTGAACCGTCAGCCTTCTGGTTAGCAGTCAAATGCCTTAGGCACTACATACCTAGTGTAAATGCTCACCTTGTAGGCCTATTGTTGTGGTGGAAGCCATGGAAGTGAGTTCAGTTCCAGGCCTGAAGGGTGACTAAGGGCCATAGTCTTGGGGGTTTCACTAGTCTCTATCAGACCTGTAAAGTCGGTCTTTTTTTATGATTTTGAGTTTTGTTCCACATTTTTCTCCCACTCTATCTTTTATCTAAGATATCCTATTCTGATCCCTTTCCTAGTGGTTGACAGTGGTAGCCAGGCACCATCTAGTTCTTCTTGTCTCAGGGTCATGTAGGCTAAGGTTCACATGGTCCACTAGTCCCTTGGACTAACTCTTTCCATGTGTCTTTGATTTTCTTCATTCTTCTTTGCTCTGGACGAGAAGAGACAAATTGCTGCACCTTAGATGGCCACTTGCCAGCTTTTAAGACCCCAGTTGCTACTCACCAAAGCAGGATGTAGAACAATGTTTTTGTGTAATATGTTACGGCAATTGAGTTTGATGTCCCCTGCGACCATGTTCCCGAGCCTGCAGGCCCAGTGACTCACTCCCTCAAGGTGTTTGGTTGTGGCTAAGAAGTTATCATAACTTTGTCCCATGTTAGTTCTATTATATATATAGACACTCTTATAGCATATACAAATATATATGTAAAAATATTATCTGTCAAACTTACATACCATCATGAGTAAATTTGAAAAGGGAAAATTTTAAAAGACACTGGTATTTTGTATAAGGAGCTCTGGTGGTATAGTGGTTAAGGCATTTGGCTGCTAGCCAAAAGGTCGGTGGTTTAAACCCACCACCTGCTCCACAGAAGAAAGGTGAGGCAGTCTGCTTCAATAAATATTTACAGCCTTGGAAACCCAACGGGGTTGCTATGAGTCGGGATCAACATGATGGCAGTGAATCTGCTTTTCTTTTGGTTTGATATTGTGTATGGCTGATTAATATTTAATGATGTATCATCTCTTTTTATTAGGAGGAGTTGGTAGAGTCAGGCTTTCCCAAAGAATAGTGAGATTGATACCGCAGTTCAGACAGATTTACTTTGTTCTGATTTAGCAACAAAGATTCATTTACATCCAGACAGTCAGCAAAGTCAGCAAAGTCACCTCTCATTGGTTTAGCGTAACTCACACGCCGCCCCGAACAACTCATTATGTCTAGTGTGACGGTATGTTCTGATTGGCCAGGCCTCATCAAGTGAGTCAGTTCAACACTAACGAAACCTCACAGACTGTAAATGGGGAGGGGTGATACAGCAAAGCTACATCGTGATACCATTATGAGAAGAGGCACAAACGGCAAAACAAGAGATGCTATACTGTGTTAAGGAGTTAAGTCTTACACAAAACAACCATCTATTTAATGCCAACTGTGTACAAGGCCCTGAGTTAGAGATTAGTGTTCATTATGACTTATGAAAACATGAATTCTTTATCAAAACAATGAGTATTTTCTGTAATGCCTGATCATGTACAATGCAGACCAAAAAGAACAATGATAGATTGAATTACATTAAATGTTCACAGAAATAAAAGATCATGGGCATGCTTTACATGAAAGTCCAGGACAGGACCAATTAGTATTTAAATTTAAAAGACTTAAACCTCTTGGGATTGAGGATATTGGAGTAAGAGAAACTGATCGGAAGGGCAGACTTGTAAGTCAAACAGACATGGGTTTGAGTTCCTCATTTATCCTTTATTAACTGTGTTACATAACCTATCTGTTCCTTTTTTCTAAAAGCAGGATAATAGGAAGAACAACATCAGAGCTGTTATGAGAACTAAGTAATAATACAATGCTTCACTAATAATGATGGTGTTGCTGTTATTTGCTGCATTTTCCCTCCAATAAAAGAGTTACATTTTAATCACTGGGTTATTTGAAGATATTTTCTCAGATGTTTACAGAAATTAGGATTTTTAATGAACTTTAGAATAAAATTTTTGAAACATATTTATTTACATCCTATTGCCTTCGTGTATTTTCTTATCTCCCATTACACTTTGTAAATTATTTTTGAAGGGGATATTCTCTTGAGAGAAAAGTGAAATGAAGAGATATTGCAAGTCTTTTTTGTCCCCCATTTATATATCTACTATATCAATTTGCTTTTCATATACTTCAAGTTACTTTATGGCATGCCTCCCTCCTATATAATTAATTTTAATTTGCATAACGAAGGAAGGTAAAACCACAGGACAGGTGATTAGCAGGAAACAGTGCTCTCAAACTAGAAAATTTAAGGAGAGTTTAATTAAGGCACTATTTATAAAAGAATGGCAAGGTAAGGTTCCCTCAACCAAGAAAAGTGATTCCCTAAAACCACAAAGTTAACAGCAAAGAGTTTTTTTTTTACCACTCTAGGCCTAAGAAAAGGAGCTCTTGTGCCACAGTGGTTAAGGCATTTGGCTGCTAACAAAAAGTTGGCAGTTTGAACCTCCCAGCAGCTCTGTGTGAGAAATCTACTTCCATAGAGATTTATAGCCTTGGAAATCCTCTGGGGGCAGTCCTATTCTGTCCTATAGGGTTGCTATGAGTCACAACTTGAAAGAAGTGGGTTAAACTAAAAAAGTAAAAGGAGGGAGCAACTATCTTAAGAGGACCACCTGACAATAGTTGTGGCCTTTAAGAAAGGTATGCAGTCATCCCTCCACATCCTGCCGAGGAGGGTAGAGGGGAACACCATCTGGTGTTGACTCCTCTCTCGCCCCTTCATTTTCTGCATGCCTTTTCAAGATAACAAAAAAACTCATTAATGCCCGTACAGGGCAATCTCCCAGTTACAGAGCAGCATGGAGTAGGATATGGAGGAAAAATGGAAGATATGTAGCACATATTCCAAAGCCAAAACATACTTCTAATTTGTGTTATATAAAGAGTTGACAGATAGAATACAAGACACATATACTTAGATTTTCACATAAATGATGAATTTTACTTTGTAGAAGTATATAACTTACGCAGTACTTGTGACATGGTTATACTGAAAAAATTATTAATCATTATCTGAAATTTGTATCTGTGGGGCCATCCTGTATTTTTTTGTTTGCTAAATCTGGCAGCCCTAATCTGTAGAACAATAGAAGTTATAATCCTGTTCTCTCAAAAGAATTTAGGAACTGACAACATCCTGAGGGAAACCAAATTTTGGGTATTTGACGGCTTTTACTCAGACATCCAAATCAATTCTCTAACCACCCGCATCATTCTGTAACAAGTTTCTCTCCAACGAAAGAAACTTTGGGTCTATGTATTGCTTACATTTGGTAAGTCTTCAATGCCGTTCCTGACCAGAAGAAGTTTCTGGAGCTTCTGCAAGAACATAATTTCTTCCGGTAGGCAAATAAGCTGATTGTAGTTAAGTTGAAGTTCAGAAAGATTCTCAAGGAAACAAAGTTCTTTAGGAATGCTAGCTAGTTGATTATAATTTATACTCAAATATGTAAGACTATGTAATCTGAAAAACAAAATATATGAATGAGACACAAGAATACATACACTGTACAGAAATCACCACTTATCAGAAGCCCTGAATCAATTCACTTTTTCAAAGCTTATCTGACCCTTACTTACATTCAAAGTCACAACTCCTGTTAGCATATAAACTAAAATTTAATTTTTAAAGATATTCTATAATCAAATAGTTTAAGAATACTTTATGTAATCAAAACCTAGTTTTAAAGTAAAGAAAATTTTCCTCCTATAAACATATAGATGAGTGGATGCATATATATATGCACTTTGTTGCCATGAAAGATGAAAAAATGGATCAGACTAATTCTGCCTTGCAGATGTCATAGTTTACACAAGAATATTAGTACAGTCATAAAATGAAGACAGAAAATGACACAGATAGGGAGAAAAAGATTAAAGATATTGGAGTGTGTAACTGTAGATATGGTAGCAGAAAATGCCTGAAGTAGATCAAAGGCTTTTTAGAAACAATGACATTTTAAACTTAATCTCTAATAATAGAACTTGTAAAATTCAGGCAATAGGAGTAGTTTTGTTTATTGGCTTGCTAGAATGTTAGACTATCAGTTCACAAGGCCAGAACACAGACAAGCTAAAATTAGCTGTATAATAGCTTGGATCTATACTTTGCAATACTATTTTTTTCAGTGAAAGTTTTTTTTTTTTTTTTCAGATTCAATAGAGACACTTTTATTAAGCCTTGTATAAGACAAAGACAAAACAAAGACAATCATCCAGGATGAGGGAAACTATCAGCATGTACACAGTAAAGAAAGCTGAATGGAGTCTCTTCAGTGAAAGTTTTAATTCATTTTTCTAACATATTCTGACAATGAACACCTTAGTTTATACAATTCCTTAAATATGGTACTTTGGACTCCAAAAAGAGATAAGCTTACTAAATTGTGAAATCATAACATGTTATAGCTATGGGACTTTGAAGTTGATGTACCCAAAATTCTTCCTTTAGAGATGAGGAAGCTGAACTCCAGGGCCATTAAATTACTTGCCCAAGGTCGTAAAACTAGTTGCAGAAATATATGACCTAAACCTAGTTCCTCAGATCTTTCCAAGTGTGCTTTTCTCATTGTATCATCATTTAAATACATAAATCAATAGATAAACAAGCTGAATAAGTGAAAAAGCAGACAACTATTGGCATTTTTATTGCTATAAATATCCCTCTTCTACAGAAATTGGATCAATTCATATTCTTTCTAGTCGCTCAGACTTAAAACATTGCTTTCCATGTAAAATCTATTGGAGAAACATAATGCATTGGCTAGGGGTATGAACAAGTGAATTGGAATTGATTTTAGGTGCTGCAGAAAGCTTTGCTTGTAGTTCTGAATCCTCCTTTAAAAATCTGGATGCTCTTACCTTGTGATACATCTGTTTCTGTTCAACAGGCAATAAAGAGAGTCCCTAAAGTAAACCCAAGCAGGGTTCTCTTTCCATCTGTCAGAGGAAAAGCCCAAGAGGGCATTTTGCCTGCAGAAGGACAAGGCCCTCCAATGGCTCCAGAAAGGCACTGGAATGGCAGCCTGTCTGTGCAGCTGTTCAGGATAAGGGAAAACAACACTCTTCACTGTTATTGGTGATAATAAAATGTGGGTTTTTTTTAATTATTTTTTCCAAATGAAAATGACAATTTGGTTTTAAATCCTTTGCTTTTATATTACCATCAAGTTCAAAATGGTTTGCAATACTCGTCAGCAATAAAATATAATGTCCCCAAATTCTGAAGCTGAGCAAGTTCCAAGAACCCCAGAGTTGGGAAATCAATAACACAATCAGTTCTAGAACTTTATGTTTCAAAGCCCTGACTTTAACACTTAGACTACCAAGTCATGCTGTTTCTCAATTCTCTGAAGTGTCTAAAAAATCATCTGCTTAAAACTAGTGGCTCATCTCAGCCCTTCACATCCCTCCTTACTATGTATAAACCCCACTCTTACTGGATGCTGTTGTTGTTATGTGCCGTCGAGTCAGACTTGACTCATAGTTGACTGCTCCTTGGGTTTCCAAGGTGGTATCACTACGGAAGTAGGTTTCCCAATCTTCCTTCTGAGGAGTGGCTGGTGCATTTGAACCACTAGCATTCTGGTTAGCAGTCAACTACCTTAGGCACTAAGCTACCAGAGCTCCTTACTGGATGCTAGGCATAACTCATTCAGGTGATCAGGGTGGGGCCAGGATGGGGCAGGAAAAGGTAGGGACTCCTACAGTGAGACTCCATTTCTCACTAAAAACAAAATTACCTGCCGATTTCTTGAGGAAGGCACGTAAGCAGATTGTTGTTCAGATTAAGCAGGACCAAATTTTGTAAACCATCTGTTAGGAAATAATTTTAGTCACTTTTGTCATCTGTTAAATCGTAATTTTTAGTTCACTTTTCTTTATACCTTTGTTTTCCTTCCAGTTTCTTGCCTTGGCCAAGGGTCTTTTGGTTGCAAGTAACAGATACCCTTTTCTTAAACTAGCTTAAGCAAAAAGGAGAAATTTATCATTAAGTTACAAAGCTACATCATGGTACATGAGGGCAGGCCTCACCACAAATTGGAACCAGAAGATACAATAACCCCCAGACCCCAGCAGTTCTGGATAACTAGGCAGAATATGCCGTTTATTTCTCCTCGCGGTGTCACGTTCATTTTCTCTCTCATACTCTCTCCTTTCTTCCTTCTCTCAGTTTTGCTCTTTTGAACAGGTTTTCTCTATTTTCCCCTGCAATCATGGCTCCTGAGTTTGAATGTTCACAGACAGAAAGCACAGGGTTCTCAAACTCAAATACTGCAAGAATTAAGCAGACAATCCAGACATGTGCAGTGGGTCTGGTGAAACCTGTGCTCAACTGGAGAGCTCCTGTCATTGTCTCATGGAATGTGATT